CCTAAACATATATCAAAAATATTAATTCTAACATAATAAAAGAATATTAAATCAAAATAAAATACACTGCTTACCATATGTATTTCTTTAGTGGATGAATACGTACTATACTGTACAGCATACCTATGTTGTTAAAATTAGGTAGGTTTACGAATTTGGAAAATGATTAAGGACAATAGAAGTGTTTTTAAAAGTGTGGGAAAGATTTTTCAGAGTGTGGGAAGGGCTTATAAAGCCTTAAAATATATGTAAATACTAAGATAAAAATAACGTCACTACTTTGCTGATTTTCACTGATTGCAGGGGTGTCTGGAACGTAGCTTCCACGATAATAGAGGGACCACAGTATATAAAAACTAAAAGATGGTCTAGTAGGTTTGAGAAGATGGTTTAGGATGGGTATTTTGGATTGAGGCTGTAGAAGAAAACATGTATTGCATTTCTTGCATAATTTAAGGTTTATAACTTTGACCTTTATTAATCCATTCTTAGTTTTCCTAGAAGGTATGTTTTTCAGATTTTCTTTAAAGTTTAGACATTTATTTCCTTCACCTGTTATATCCCAGAAAGCAGAAATTTCTTCATATTAGAAAAAGATTGTTAGCATCCTTTTCTTCTGAGTATCTATTGTTTTTAAACATTTAAAGAATTCTCAAAATAGTGGTCAGAAACGATCTCCTTGTGGCTTACACTGCAAACACGAAATGAATTTTTACTTCCGATTCTCTGCAGCTTACATTCCTTGCCGTTGCTTAGAAACCCTTCCTCCGACTCCTGCTGGGTCCATCCCTGGCAGTTTCCTGGCAGCATCTTAGCAGGGGGAAGACTGAGTTTTTCGAGCTTGCCTTTCTGGGACCCTGGATTTCAGCAGCACTTTTCTGTTCTCGTTTCTTCTTAGATGTCAACGAGTGTGCGACCGACTACCATCGCTGTGGCCCTAACTCTGTGTGCATCAACCTCCCGGGAAGCTACCGGTGCGAGTGCCGCAGTGGCTATGGGTTTGCAGAGGACCAGCACACGTGCGTCTGTGAGTACCACAGCTGCTTTGCTTTTGGTCACAGTGGGGCTCAACCTTGCTTTTTAAATTCTGCCATCCAGAGGCTCTGCTCTGTGATTTTCTTGAGAACAACACAGTGGAATAACCCAAGCCCCTGGTTCCATTCAGCCCTGTTTATTGGAACAGTTTCCCCATACATGGACAGTTTTGGTGAAGAGTCCTGAGAGGACAGCCTCAGCTGGGACTCACAGCCAGCAGCGCTGTGTCTCTCTGTAGTGAAGGCCCGGCTTTGGGTAGAGCTCGTGCAGTACTCAGTTTAGAAGAAGGTTCTAGATTTGTAGTTCAGAGGTCTTGTCTCACATGAGGATCCAAGACCCTCAGCCATAAGGTACTCTTCCATGGTTCTGAAGCCTGTTTTGGACCTACAGATGGATACAAAAGAACTAGAATTCTAAGTACACCCCAGCGGTAGAGCTAGATGGCAATGGAGATGTTACATTTTAATATCCAGTGGATGACAAAGGAGCATTGATGTGGGGAGTGTGTGTATGTGTGTGTGTGTGTGTGTGAATGTGAATCGCATCGTAGATTTGCCAGCTTTAGTCAACGTCTGTTTGGGTGACTGATTTTAATGCCTAATATTTTTACCTCCAAACCATATGTGCTTCACAAACCTCTGTGTAGTAGCAGCTGTCCAGGAATGTTGCTAATTGCGATTCTGACTCTGGCCCTGCTGGCCCAGGTGTGCATGTGCCCGTGCTCTGGGCGGTCTTGGGGAGCTGGGAGGGGCAGGGGTGGCTCATTCACAGGGCGGAGCTCTTGTACATCTCCACCTTCTTTTTTGCAGTGATCGGCCCCCCTCCCAACCCCTGTGAGGACGGCAGTCACAACTGCGCCCCTGCTGGGCAGGCCCGCTGCCTTAACCATGGAGATGGCACATTCAGCTGTGCCTGCCTGCCAGGCTACACTGGCAGTGGGTACCAGTGCTCCGGTGAGTATCTGTGGGCCGCCTTGGGGATCCTGGAGGCTGCTGGGTGCACAGCTCCACAGAGATGGGGGGCCCTCCCCACCCTCCTGTGTCTCAGACAGTCTTGGCATTGCCCAAAGAGGAAAAGATGTCCCTAGAGGCAAGAAGGGTGACTTCCCTGGGATAAGATGGTTGTCTCTAGAGGAGACCTCCCTATCTATAGAATTCCCTTGAGCTGTTGTGGGCTTAACTTTCTACTCCTTCGAGCGGGCACTCAGCACATACAGTATTTCTCTCTTTTTTCTATTTCCTCCCAAACATCTAGTGAAAAGGATTGGAGGTGAGGGGTGCTGCTGGGATCTGCTCTGAGGATCGCACGAGCCCCAGGGTCCTTAGCACATCAGCTCTGGGGCCAGGTACACACAGCAGATGCAGACAGGTTCAGGAAAGAACAGCGGCCTGTCTCCTGGAGGTCTGGTCCTCGAGCAGGCCCTTCTTCCCTGTGCATTCCAGGCACTTTCCCCTCCATTCTGTCATCCCCAGCAGCCCATTCTATTGTAACAGTATGTGGCTGTGACATAAAACTGAATTTCAGTCTGATCACATGCGACCAGGTAGATTTAAAAAGGTTGTTTTTTTTTTTTATCAGGAATTGAACTCAAGATTTCACCCTTGTTAGGCAGGTGCTGTGCCACTGACCTCTACCCATGGCTCTAGAATGTCTTTTATTTTTTTATTTTTTTTATAGACAGGGTTTTCCATATAGTTCACGCAGGCCTTGAACTCATTATGTAGCGCAGGCTGGCTCTGAACTTGCTGCGACCTTCCTGCACCAGCCTCCCAAGCACTGGGATTGCAGGCAAGCACCACTGATAGCGTAGGTAGCCTTACTGTGTAACATCTGTGTTAAGGTACGAATGATCTAGTTTCATGAAATTTGTACTTAATGAGTGTAGAGACCTTGTCTTGGGGGCAGTTGGATAATACCATGAATGTGTAAATTTTTAAACAGCTTATCACAGTAAAAGACACTTTGCTAAGAAGATAGGATAAATGTGTGTGAAGCAAGGGGAGTATTGATGGCATGTGTCTTTTACTGTAATACAGCTTTAAAATTAAATACGCATTGTATTTTTATCACACTTGTGTTTTTTCTGACACATTTATTTTATTTCTTTTTTGTGGTACCAGGGATTAAACTCAAGACCTTGCGCTTGCCGGGCAGGCGCCTACGCCACTAAGTTATCTCCCAGCCCTCTGACAAATTTAAATGGGAATGCTTACCATTATTTTCTGATCTATTGACTTTATAAAATGCCATATGATGTCTTAAAGATAGATTTTGGGGAGTAAGGTGTGTGTCGCAGTAATATCCTTTTCTAGCTTGAGAGGTTCTTCCTCGTGGTAGCCTTCTGAATGGTCAGATGGTGTGGGAGTACATGACACATTGTCATTTTTCACACAGCCCTGCACACATTAGGACAGTGACAAGCTTACGAGGTGTTCCCGTGTGTCTGCTCATTAAAGGTGTCCCATAGTGTACACCCCTCTCAGCGTCGTGTATGGAGGGAGTGTGCGTTCTCTAGTGGCACCCAGCACACTCACCACAGGAGGGGGTGGGCTTCCCTCCAGCCTTGGTGCCTTCAGAGCGAGGCCCCCGAGACGCTGCACTTGACCCTGGGAGCTCAGTCTGGGCCAGGTCCCTGGCAGAAGGCTCTTCTCCAAATCGAGTTACATCTTCTCCCGCTTGCCCCCATCTGGAGTAATTTTGGTGCCTGGTCGGTGTGAGCTCGGTGTGGATGTGTCCCAAGCACATTTGTCCTTAGGGATCGTGGTGGCTTTGCTGCCGTGAGAGCAAATTGTCTTGAGTTGGAGCCCTCGCAGGGAGGAGCTGGTTTGCAGATTGCCTGGACCCCAGAGCTGGCATCGTCTGGGACCAGGATGAATGGAGGTGCTGACATCATCCTTGGATTTTCTGTGCTCAGAATATAGCTGTAGGGTGAGGCCTAGCAATGTCAGCGTGACCATCGGGGACTGAAAGGCCATGGGTTATTCTCACAAGTCCCAGAGGTCCCCTCCAAAGGGCACAGTGTGCAGAATGTTTGCACAGAGAGCAGAGAGCAAAGACTTGGGCTAAAGCAGTGACTTAACTGGGATCCTGAATGGGATCAAGATTAATTGGCAGCAAGAAATGACTTGGGCTCAAAAGCAAGTGGGTGGTGGGGACCGGAGTTCACTGGTTGGAGTCCAGCTGCTTTCACTCAGAATTAGGGCCAGGAAGGACGTGAGTAGAGACGCGTGAGCTCAGAATGGAGGGTTTTAAAGTATATTTTCAAACCAGGTTTGGGGGAGTTTAACAGATGATAAAGGTGGGCTGGAACTGTTGGCCTTCCGTTGCTGGTGTCGTAATGGCAGTGACTGTTCTTGGCCATACCGCTCTTACTCTTCTATCTGTTCCTAAAGATCTCTCCACTGATGGTACCTAAGGACAGTGCCCGCCTTGCTGAGGGCTGAAAGTCCTTGCAATGGGGTAGGGTCTCCTGTTGTACCCCTCCTACCTTGTGGGAGGAGCACCCCGATAGCTTGCTCTGAGTGCAGGCCCCAGGGCAGCTGGCTGGAGTCCAGCGTTAGATAGAGTTGGGGATGTGACTTAGGGAGCCTTCCTCTGCTCTAGCTCTGGGGGCTCAGGGATTCCTAACTGTGATGTATTCAGTCTCTTTAGGGACTGTCTCCTCACTGGGCAGTAGTGCCTGGAGAGGAAGGCTGGTCTTCCAGATCTGCTCAGAATTCTTTATCCACGGGCTTTAGTGACATCAGTAACTTGGTTGCTGTGGGGAATTCCCTCTCCCTTAGTTCAAAAATAACCATAAGAAACGATTCCTTGAGCTCTAGAAATAGGCCCTGTGCCTCAGGAATTCCTGCTTCCTGTCATTGCTCGGGGTTCCTGGTATTATTAGAAGTATGTCCAGCCTAGGTACTGTCAATGGCTTATTTCCTGCCCTCGGCTGGCTGGATGTTCATTTCTGCTACTTTGGTTTTCCAGCCAGCTTTGCAGCCTCTTCAGGCCCAAGGACCCAGCTGGACACCAGCTTTGCCCAGCTGGGCATTGGAGCTGTCCTTTTGAAAAGACAGAGGGTGCCCACAAGGACCATGAAATAGGACAGTACTGATTTTTTTCCCCCACTGGATAACTGAGGAGATCGTTGAAACATCTTGATTATTTCTAACCTTCAGATGAATTGGTAACTACTTCCTGACTTAGTCCACAAGATGAGGGTGACCAGGAAGGCCAGCTGTTCTCCTGAGAGAGCCTCTCTGGACGCGCTGTGTTAGACTTGACGGTATTGGCCACTGAGAATATATGTATACGACTTAATTACCTTTGAGGTAGAGGATAAGCAGAATACTGATTTGCTAATACAATACAAGGGTTTCCTCTCTAGTGAAGACAGTGCCTACTTGTAATGTCACACAGGCACCCACACAGGAAGTTGGTCAGAGCAAGATGGTGGTATACCAGCAGCGAAGAGAGTGCACCCAGGTCAGGGAGGCTGGCTGAGGAGGCCCCTGTTCCCAGCCCATGTGCGTCACTTCTGGGGTGGGAGGCTCTGGCTTCCCACGCTGAGCTGTCTTTGCCATGAGCTGTACTACAGAGAAGCGGTTCATTCCCAGTCACAACGGGCACTGGGGAGATGGCTCAGTGGAATAAGCACTTCCCTGGCAAGCGCAAGGGCCTGAGTTCAATCCCCAGTTCTGCCAATAAAAAAAACAAAACAGAACATCATTTCCTTAGCTGAGAATGCGGTGGGATGTATGCTTGCATATTCAAGGTCATAGGTTCAATCCCCAGTACCAAAGACAAATCTCTATCATTCTCTAAAATTACTTTGGTAAGCCCAGTCACAACGGTTATCTCACCACGGTCTTTCTGTTCACACGTTCTTGTTTTGTTTTGTTTTTTTGTTCACACGTTCTTAAAGGCTTCTAAGTCAGCCATAGCAGTGCACAGCCGTGATCCCAGCACTGGAGCCTGAGCCCATCCTGGGCAACTCATTGACCTTAGTGAGACTCAGTCTCAAAATAAAATATAAAAAGGGCTGAGGATGTAACTCAGCATGAAGTCCCTGGATTCAATCCTTAGTCAAAAAAAGAAAAAGAAAGAACCAATAAATTAATAATAATAAAGAGAATGTGACTGATACTGTTTTTTATTTTTCAATCAAGTCCAGATCGGATCTGGACCCTTTGTTTATCCTTTTCCTCTGGAACACTCTGCCCTTAGGCGAGCTCCTCTTATCCACTGGATATTCGTGTTAACAAATCCACACTCCATTTCTTGTCGCTGGGAGGGGCGTGTCTGAGAGGACTGACCTGCTACTGCCGGCCTGTGCTGACTTTGGTAGCTAAAATCAAAAGGAGTATGAACAGGCTTCTGTTTGAAGTGTCAGGATTTTGAACTCGAGAAACCTGATTATGACCATTCTCCACATGGCATCTGGAGCCCGAGGGCCCTGCGTTGTTTATGTGGATGTGTGCCCGACAAACTTGGGCTGTGTTGAGGTGTTAGCTCAGCGGTGCCAGTACCATTTTTTTCTTTTTATTTTTTCTTCTTTTAAAAGTGAGAAATAAAATTTCTGGTTAGGGGAGGTTCCCATCAGGCAAGACCAGTCGTGCTTCTGACTCAGTTTAAAAAAGCTCTGGGGCCTCACCTGGCTTCTCCATGTCTCTGCGTCGACATTATAGGAAGATGGTGTCAGCCATGGAGAGGGCGAGAAGCTATTGTTTCCTATATTTATCTTTATTGTAATGTTACCAAAAGGAAATTGATGATTTATAGCGTAAAGGTTTGTTTAAAGGTAAGAACTTCCGGGAATTCACTGCAGCTGAGAGATGCTCTAGAAATATGATTCAGGATGTTTTTATGCGCAAGTGGCCACATGCTTGATTTCCACACTGAATATTTTTGGGTTTTTTTTTTTTGTTTTGTTTTTTTTGTTGTTTAAGGCAGGGTCTTGCTCTGACCAGCAGTTCAGGCTGGTCTTGAACTCCCTGTGTACCCCAGGCTGGCCTCGAACTCATGGCGAGCCTCCTGCCTCAGCCTCCTAAGCCCTGGGATTACAGCAGTGCGCCGCCATGCCTGGCTTACTCTGATCCTCATCAACATGTTAGCTCACATGTGCCTTGGCCTTTTGTTCCTTTAAACTTACTTTTAGGTGTTAGCTTTTTCTGCTCATGCCCCTTGTTGATCCACATGCACAGAACCGTGTGGTCGCAGGTGGTGGACGGTGAAGTCATATCTTCCTTCCTTTCCTCTTCGCTGCCCTCCCCACCCCCCGTTCCTGCCCCCTGCAGATGTTGATGAATGTGCGGAAAACAGATGTCACCCAGCAGCTACCTGCTACAACACCCCTGGCTCCTTCTCCTGCTATTGCCAGCCTGGGTATCTGGGAGACGGCTTCCAGTGTACATCTGGTAAGACCTGCGTGGCCACCTCGGGTGCTCACAGCTCTGGCTCCTTCTGTGGTATTGTTCTTTGGTCCTCACACTTGGTCTGGGGCCTCTGTGCATGCATTTGCAGCCCCACAGTTCCCCTCTGCTGCCCCCTTTACTAGCCATTAGCTCCCACCGGGCTTGGGGTAGGAGCCGGCCCTCATCCTACCCAGTGGCAGCCCCGATTCAGTGCCCTCCATCACCTGCTATTCAAGAGCAGCCACTTGCACCAGTGAGTCAGGCCTAAGTACCCCTGGGGAGGGCTCTTGGGGAGGTAGGCCACCCCTGTGCAGTGGTGGCCTCTGATCTGGGCTTCTCACATTGGGTCTTGGGGGCTGGGTGGCACCTGACTTGCCCTGTCTGATGTCTCTGGGCATGTGTGTGTGTGTGTGTGTGTGTGTGTGTGGATGCTGTGGATTGCTCCACTGTCCTACCACTGGATGTGTTAGGCCCCTGAGGACAGGGCTGCTGTACATGTGAACATATGATTGGAGAATATGGTGAGTGTTTAAATTTTTAAAAAGCTGTTACAGTAAAAGACACTCATCCCTCCTGAAAAATACCGCCCCTTGCTTTGGACGCACTTATCCCATCGCCCTTGCCTCATTCTGAAGCGGCTCTGGAGTTCTCCTTCATGGGGGTCTTCAGCTGCACTGTCCTGGCTGCCTCGGTGTCCTGAACTGATTCAAATGTTAGCCCTTCACGGTCCTTCTGACTTTTATTAAGAGCCAGACACTGCATGGTATCAAATGAAGTGGCTAGGGCGGGTGAGGACACACTGTCATGTTTTTATGAGCCTGCCTTTCTGTTCGCTGGCAATCGGCTACAGCAATCAAGTGTTTTGTTTTTAAATCACGCCCTGTGAGACATTCACAAAAGTGGACTTCCAGATCTGTTTCATAAAGCAGCAAAAATGGTAAGTGTTTGAAATGAAGAGGGTTTTTTGAGACCAGGTCTCATCGGATTGAGGCTGGCCTGGAACTTACTGTGTAGCCTAGGCTGGCCTGGAACTTACAGCAATGTTCCTGCCTTAGCATCTTGAGTTCTGGGGTTACAGGCAAGCACTACCATGCCCAGCTGTACCAAAATTTTAAAATCAATTTTACTTGTCTTTTTGAGACAGGGTCTTGCCATGCAGGTTTTTTTTTTTTTTTTTTTTTTTTTTTTGTGGAACCGGGGATTGAACTCAGGACCTGGTGCTTGCCAGGGAAGCACTTATTCCACCGAGCCATCTCCCCGTCCTTTGCCATGCAGTTCAGACTGGCCTTGAGCTCGCTTTGTAGCCCAGGATGGTCTTGAACTCATAAGGATCCTCCTGCCTCAGCATCCCGAGTGCTGGGATTACAGGGGTGCTCCACCATACCAGCTTAAAATTTTAAAATCTGAACATTCGCTGTATGTTTTGATTACCCTTCATATACGCTTCAGGTACTTACAGGGTACCTAGAGAATTGGGACCAAACTAGAGAGTGGCAGCGCTAAAGTAAGAATCTAAGACCCCCAAATCTCAGAGCCTTGCTGTGATTCCCACCTCACGCTGTCTTCCAACTGTAGGGAAAAAGCTTCTCAGTACGAAAGACTTTGATGTTGGCAGTCACAGTACACAGGTTGGAGTACCTTTTCCTTCTCCTCCGGGCCTTCCTCTGCCTAGGAACAGGGGCCTGTGAACACCAGTGGTGCCATGTCAGCCCCACCACATCTACCATGGGTCCGGGCCCACATCTCTCAGTGTGACCAGCAGGGCACCTTCCTGCCTCTGCAGTGTCACAGCAGTACTGGATTCTGCCATCGTGTGTACCCTAATAGCTACAAAGTCCCTGCCACTCAGACTCCACAGGGCTCCACCCACCCCACTGTGGAGCACCAGCAGGTGAGCCCACCTGAAGGAAACTGTGTACCCAAATTCAGAAGGCCTGAAGAAGCACTGCTGTGGGGTAGATGAGAAGCCACCCCAGGCCACGTGGACCTGGGGCTGGTGTTCACCATCTGCAGAGGACCTGTTCTTGGAGGTACACATGGATGAGCTTGTGCAGTTATGCGTGTTTATGTTACAAGGACATATGGATGTGTGTATGACGGGGTCTCTGTCACACAGTGAACTCCAGCCCCTGTGGCTGTTGAGTTGCAGGACTGGCACTGAGTATTTTGTCAGGCTGAGGCCACTGTGATAGGTCTCAGAGAGTGGAGGGCCTCGCCACACCAGCATCTCGTCTTGGAGGAAAGCTGCCTGGCAACCATCTCTCCCCCTGCTTCTCTGAGCTACAGGAAGGGGTCTGAAGGCTGTGTTGAGATGACGGGAAAGTAACTGAGACTTCTGTGGGGGATCCAGCCAGTTTTCTCCAGTCCTGAGCCCAGCTTACCCTGGCCTCCCCAGCATGGCGATAGGGGAACCCCTCCTGCCTCTGCTGCCTTCCTTAGAGGCCCAAGAGGCTGCCTAGCGCTTGTGCAGTCTGAGAGGTTGAAGATGAACGTTGGTTATCACCCAACGTTCCACTGGAACTTGTCCCACTGGGTGGGGCGAGTTCAGCAAGTGCTCGGGGTCAAGGCCAACAGCAGGCTGCCAGGGCAGCTCTCTGCTCCTTGCTGAATTGTTCAGGGATGCATACAGTGTTTTAATTTTTATTATTATGGAAGAGCTCTATGATAAAGGACATAGGATTGGTTTGATACTATATTAGCCAAAATGGTTCCTTTACCTGTAAACTTGTATTCCAAGATCCTTTTTTTTTAAATGTGTTTGGTACAGGGTCTCAGTACGCAGCTTGGACTCCTGGTGATCCTCTTGTTTTCAGCCTTCCCAGTGCTGGGATTACAGGCTTGCGCCACCATGCCCAGACTTGGTGGCTGGCTCAGTGTGCCCAAGGGCAAGGTTGGCGCAGCATGTGGTGCTCAGGATCAAGCCCCGATCCCTGCACTTGCCTAAGCAGGTGCTTAGTCCATTGAGTTATCGTACCAGTCCCCACGATCCATTTTTACTAGAGCAAAAAATTCCAGAAATATTGTACTATTCTTGGATTTTAATGGATTATAAGAATAAATACAATAAACTTATGGAAAAAATAAATAAAATAAAAAAGAGTAAATAGATTTTGATAATTACCAATAATTTTGATTCTTTAACAGTCTTAATTTTTATAGCCAAGACTTTAGTGGTTCTGAGATTATATAGCTAAAAATTGGTCATGGCCTTGATCCACAATGACACTCCTAGTCAATTCTACAAGTTAAGAAAAATACATAGAAGTTCGACTTTCTCATGGTTTCACTTTGAAAAATCTAGGTCCTACTCTAGCTGGGATTTGGAAAAATCAGCTGGCTTGATGGTACCTTAGGAGACTGGTTGAGAATTCTATTTCCTTTTTCAAAGAATCATGTGTTCAAGACAGTGACTTAAGCTGAGAACCTAATGGCTGAAATCAGGACCCACTCTTCAGGCAGACTTTCTCCTGGCCAGACCTCTCCTTGGCACTGGTTTGGTTTTGGCTGCAGGTTCTGATTAGTCTCATCTGCATAATAGGATCAACTCAAGGGAGGCGAAAACACTCTGTGATTTCAGAATAGTTAAGCCCCTGCCAAGCAGAAGCAGAAGAGAAGTAAACTCATGGCTGGATTGAAAGGTAGCTTCAAACAGCAAGGAGTGAGAGAGATGCCCACCACGAGTCTCTGAGATCCATTTCTCAGGGATGGACAGCTGCACCCCTGCCTTCTAGACCAAGGGACGGGCCTCTTGGGTGGGCCCTGGAACCAAGCATGGATCTTCAGAGTTGCGTGTGGATGGGGACAGTGTTGGGTACTTCCACGGAGTATCCTGCCTTGAAGGGGGCAGCAAGTGTCAGAGCATCTCTGGAGATTTTCCTGCTTCTGATTTCTTGAGACACACGTGGGTAAGGTTCAGGTCCTACTCTCTCCACGAGGTCACAAGGAGAACCTTGCTTTCTGCGGTCGAGGAGCTACAGCTGCAGGCTGAAGGGCCTCTGCGTGCTCCACTCCTCCAGAGTCTGGCCGTGTGGCCAGCTGGGTTTGAGCTTGATTCTCCATTCTCCTGCCTTCCCACGGAGCATTCATGCTGCAACCGCTTTGTAATCTCTGTTTTTTTGAAGTCATGGGAGAGTTTTGAGACAGGGAGGGGCATGAAGTGCTCTTGTGGTTTTTTTTTTTGTTTTGTTTTGTTTTTTGCCCTCGTGTTTGAAATGGACCAACCAGGCTGGCCAATGGGTGAGTTTACGGGAACTTAAGGCGGAAGGAGACAGGGCCCAGCAGGTGGAAAGATGGCAGCTAGGAGCAGGCCTCAGCATAATTGGATGAAGGGCCTGCAGCCAGGAAGTAGGAAGAGCTACAGTTATCCCCCCCAAAAAAATTTTTTTTGGCCTGCTCTGGGGGTGGGGCTGGCACAGCATGTGGTGCTGGAATTGAACCTCGGTCTCTGTGCTTTGCTTAAGCTTGCCTATGCAGGCACTTTAGACCGCTGAGCTGTCTTGCTGGCCCCAGCCAAATGTGTTTTGAAGATAGAAATGACAAGATTTTGGGACGTATCTTGTCTGGAGAGCAAAAGAAGGGAATCAGGGATGATTGCGTGTGAGCAAGGAAAGAACAGAGGTGCTGCTTAGCACATCAGAAAGATGCAGGCAGGTGGGCGGCGCTGTGGTCTTGTTACTGTTACTCTGAGACTGCTGTCACACACCTGAAGATGGTGGCACAATGAGACCTGTGGCTGTGGGATCCTGCAGACCCCAAGCTTTCAGTTGCAGGAAGTAAAAAGCAGATGCTTTTACTTAATTGATCCTGTTTAGGTAACTGTCGTAAATGAAGGACTTGTTTCAACATCCAGCAGCTGTATTTTCCGACAGAAGCACCTGTGCGTGGGGTATTGCCTTGATGGCTCTGTGGCAGATGTCAGGGAGGGGACCACCCTGTCACAGAAGGCACACTGTGAATGAGGCTGGAAGAGAGAACGCTGGAGCAAACAGGGACATAGCTTGCAAAAAAGGGTCTCAGTCAGCTCTGAGGCAGTCTCTGGGTGGTGTGAGCGAAGGACTTGTAGAAACTGAGCTGTCTGAGTCCTCGGCTTCAAGCAGCTACCTGGCTCCGGCAGTGCTGAGATGTGCATGGGCCTCTCAGTGGCAGATCTCAGAGACTGAGCCTTAGCAGAAGAACAGTTGGCTTTTAGGTATCACCCGGGCCACCGAGTCCCTGCAGAGTCTGCCCGGGGCTCTGTCAGCAGAGGTGTCCAGGGCACAGGTGGGCTGTCCCCAAGGGCCCTGTGGCCTCTGCCAGATCAGCCCCTTCCCCAGGCTGAGTGAACACTGAGCTGCAGGTCTTGCTTCCGCCTCTTCTTTCCAGACATGGCTCAGTTTCGATGGTGGATCCTTCACTGTGGGGAGACTGGAGTCCCGATTCCCACAGAGACCTGCCTGAGCACAGTTGCTTCCCTGGCCCCGCACCCAGGAGCTGGGCTGAGCCCTCATTCCTGGCTGGGAGGCGGAGGGAGGCCAAAGGTCAGGTGTGGGACCTCCAGCTACACTCTGTCCTTGGCTGGCCATCAAAGGCTTTGTTTCCCCATCTGCTCAGAGCCCACCCAGAGGCCCCGGACTGTCTGTGAGCGCTGGAAGGAAAGCCTGCTGGAGCACTACGGCGGCACACCCAGGGATGACCAGTACGTGCCCCAGTGCGATGACCTGGGCCACTTCGTGCCCCTGCAGTGCCATGGCAAGAGCGACTTCTGCTGGTGCGTGGACAAGGAGGGCAGAGAGGTTCAGGGCACGCGCTCGCAGCCTGGAATCACCCCTGCATGTAAGTGTCACAGAGCCTGGGCTCCCCTCAGACACTGACACGATGTAGGGGTGCTGCCCATGGCAGGTGACAGGTGACAGCAGGCACAGGAGGGGCCACTGATCATCCACAGGCCCTGTTGAGTTATAATCCTGTCCCCCCACAATCCCAATTTGGATTGAGTGTCGGTTCCGTCACTAGCAGTTGCTGTCATTAGAACAGCTGGGGCTCATTTCAACATTCATTTACTCCCACTTCCCAACCCGGGGTGAGAGAGGACAGTGTCACCCTGGGGCCCCAACCCCCACAAAACTTCTTTTCTTTGTGCTGAGGGAAGCATTTTGTTGTCTTCCCTCCCAAGTAATTGGCAGCGATTTACATAATTGATTCTTGAAAAAAAAAACAAAACCCTAGAAATTAGAATTCCTTTTGAAGAACATCTGGAGCACATCTGGTTAGGGTGAAGAACTTTTGATATATTTGGAGGCCCTGGTATGTGAGAAAGTAACTCCTTGTCCCCTTTGATCCCCCTTGTCTCTCTTGCCCTCCCTCCCCACACCTCCCGCTTTCCTCGGGCAGGCATACCCACCGTCGCTCCGCCCACCGTTCGCCCCACACCAAGGCCTGATGTGACCCCTCCGTCCGTGGGCACCTTCCTGCTCTATGCCCAAGGCCAGCAGATCGGCCACTTGCCCCTCAACGGCACCAGGCTTCAGAAGGACGCGGCCAAGACCCTGCTATCTCTGCATGTAAAGTGGGGCTCTGAGGGTGGGGCTTGCAGGGCTTCTAAGAAAGCCCACTGAGGCCCAGGGCAGAGGCCTTCCCTCTGGAGACCTGCTTTCTTGCAGGGAGTGACAGCTGATGGATCACGGCCACTCTTCTGAGGGTTCGTGGGACTTCAGAGTGGTCATGCTTTACAAGGCTGTGTAGTGATTGTGGGGAAGACTGGCAGAAGCTCAGGCCAAGTTCCCAGGGCTCTTGCCATGTCTGACATCTCCCCAGCCCCTGGAGGCCAAAAGGAAGACGGTGGAAGCCACAGAGTGTGGTTTCCAGGGTCAAACAGAGCCCCAAGTGCTAGCTAAGCAGACTGCTGCAGCCTCACTGTCTCTCCCGCCCCTTTTGGCTGTGTCGCTGTGGCTGGCCCCTTCATGAAGATTTGGAGAGGGGAATGCCAGGAAGGAAGAGCCAAAGCTTTCTCCAGGGAGGCCTGCTGCTTCCTGAGGCAGCAGCTTCTCTGTCGCAATTCAGAGTGCGATTTCTTCTATAAATTGGGGCAAAGAGAAAGGCTTCCCCAGGAAGACATTTACGAATGCAATTGGAATTTACCCATTTCTAAACTTCACGCTCAGGATATTTGCTCATCTGTGAAAAAAGTAGCACATCGTTGTGTTGCTGTTTAGTTATTAATGGGCCACTTACTCGGTTCCGGAAAAGCTTAACAACAGCTGGTGTTCAGAAAAGGATGTATTTTCTCTGTTTTAAGATTAGGAGGATTTTCCCTTTCAGCACACCCAGCTTATTTTGAAGTTTCTTGAAGGTAGAAACTGTGATGTTGCTGTCACTTCAGGTCCCCTCAGGCAGGCCATCTTTCTTATTTATTTATTTATTGTGCAGGGTCTCACTATGAAGCTTGGACTCGTAGTGATCCTTCTGTTCTCAGCTTCCCTAGGGCTGGGATTACAGGCATGCGCCATCACACCCATGCTTAGTTGCCGGACTCCGTGCACTCTGGTGGCAGAGCCAGCATGGTGTTGCAGTGCCAGGGAGCGAACCCTGGCCCCTACGCTTACCTAAGCAAGCGCTTCGCCTACTGAGCTATCTCGCTGGCCCTAGGCTGGCCATCTGTATTCTAGCGACTCGAGATGGCTCCAAGGCTTCTCTGAAGTGTCCCTCATGGGAGCAGAGTACGGGGTGGCTAGTGGTAAAACAAGAACAAATAAGACATAGGTTATAAGCACAGATTAGGGAAATTTACTCACACTGAAGATTTCTTTTTCTTTCTTTTTTTTTTTTTTTTTTGTATTTTTTAGGGAAGGGTCTACAGCGTGTTCAGGGTCTCACTACTAGATCAGACGCCTAGTGAGCCACCAGTTTACAGCCTCCCAAGAGCTGGGATCACAGGTGTGCGCCACCACGCCCAGTCTCAGCGCACCCCGGGGGCGGGGCCGGCACTACACCGAGGATTTCTGTGTAAAAAACTCTGAAATCCTTGTATAAGTTTATGGATATCATGGTTGCCTGGGTTCGTGGAAGCCCATATGAATGTGTACTCTTATTTTTTTGGCGGAACCGGGGATTGAACTCAGATCTTTGCATTTGCCAGTCAAGCACTTATCCTACTGAGCCATCTCCCCGGCCCCCTGAATGTGTACTCTTGCTTGAAACAAGTGATTTGTGAATTTTCAAGTAAGAGTATCACTGATCTTGGGTTCCGCAGCCAGAATAAACGGCCTGCTCTTGCACAGCCCTCGTAATCTCCTGTGCCGACTGCTCTCAGTGGCCCGAGTCAGGCCGAGCCCCAGGAGGCTCTGTTGGCCAAGATGAGAGCTGACGCAAGCAACCGCAGGGGCCGCCAGATGGCCTCTGGATGTCCGCTTCGCACATCTGCTGGGACCCTCAGAGCAGGAGTCTAGGTTGGCCACCAAGTGGCGCAAGTCCTCCATGGAGCCGAGGGAAAGCCTGTGCGGCCTGAGCACTGACTGTCACAAAGATGGTCACCACTTGGCGGTAAGGAAGGAGACCTTGCCGGCTGAGGGGGCGTGGTCACGATTTCCCAGTTCTTTGCCCCGTCAAATCACAGACTTTTCTTTTATACAGAGTACAACAGAAGACTTGCTTCATTTATAGGAAGTGGGAGTATGAGCGATTGTAGGTCAGGTCGGGCAGAGATCTGAGCCTGTCCACAGGGCTAGAGGACATGCTAACAGATTTTAGAAAGGCTCTTTCAGAAAGTACCAGTAATATTTGAAAGGCTTTAGCTTTTCTTTACACAGCAAGGACTTATTTTGCTGAAACTATATCTTCTAATAATGGAAGGGACTGATTTTTTATCAAATTACTGCTTTCGGGCTGGAGGGATGGCTCAGTGGTCTGGAGCACCTGCTTGGAGCAAGCTTGGCAAAAGCATCAGGGACTGCGGTTCGGTCCCCCAGCACCACATGCCAGCCAGCCCGCCCCCTGGTGGGCTGAGCTGGCCTCCCTCCCTCTCTCTCTCTCTCTCTCTCTCTCTCTCTCTCTCTCTCTCTCATAAATAAATAGATAAAATTTAAAAAAAAAAAAACAAATTACTGCTTTCACTGCCACTGGCAACAGCACTTAGTTGAGGGGCTTGCAGTACCCTAACTACTACGACCCTTTCTGTGCATTTACGGTATTAACTTATGTAGCAGCAGAATTAGGCTGCTACTAGCCTCCGTTTGCAAATTGAAGACACCAAGGCCCACAGAGGTTAAGTGCCAGTGTCACACAGTAAGTGGCCCTCCAGCTTTGACTCCAGGGAGGTCTTTCCTGCTTATGTATCTAACCGCTCTGTCTGCTGCCTACAAAAAGTGCAGGGTTGCTTATTGCCATTATGCATGAATACAAACTTGAGGAAGATTTAAAAAAAATTCCTAGTTTGTCTAATTTTATGATCTGGTTCATGAAGGGCTCCATAGTCGTAGGAATCGACTATGACTGCAGAGAAAGGATGGTGTACTGGACAGACGTCGCTGGACGGACAATTAGCCGTGCCAGCCTGGAGCCAGGCGCAGAGCCTGAGACTATCATTAACTCAGGTGAGTGGCTTCACTCGGCAGCGCACGCTTTGCATTTCGTTATCTTCCAAAGGCACTTGGCTGTTTCATGCTGAAGTCGTCCCTCTTTTCCTCTAATATGGGAGGTTAAGCTCTGTGCACATCATTTTATATTGAGCTGTGAAAGATCGGCCCCTCTGTAAACAAACATGTTCACACACGAAGAATGTAAAGGGGACTCTGATGATGGTGAACTCTTATTTAAAAAAAAAAAAAAAAAAGACAGTTCAGGGTGTGGGGATAGTGACACATGCTGCCTGCCCAGCACCATGGATGCTTGGTGCCCTCCATGGAGTGGGTCTGTAAGTACAGAGCTGGTGGTGGTAAAATAAGTAATAGAGGCGTCGCCTTTTCCATTCCCTGGTTCTGGGGACTTGAGACGCTCAGGCTTTCTTTTCTTTATTTTTTTTTTCCTTAAATTTATTTTAATTAAAGAGTAAATATGATGACAACATTGGGGTTAGGTCTTTTTTTTTTTTTTTTTTTTTTTTTTTTTTTTTTGCGGTACCGGGGATTGAACTCAGAGCCCTGCACTTGCCAGGCGAGCGCTTATTCTGCTGAGCTATCTCCCTGACCCTTTTCTTTTCTTTAAGCTGTTGGAACGCGGCAGATCTCTGCTTGAGTCCTTGGCCCTTCCCACCGCGAGCTCATTCTGGCCCCGCCTTTGTTCCCATTCCAGGTCTGATTAGCCCAGAAGGTCTTGCTATCGACCACTTCCGGAGGACCATGTACTGGACAGACAGCGGCCTGGATAAGATAGAGAGGGCCAGGCTGGACGGCTCTGAGCGCAAGGTTCTCTTCCACACGGACCTGGTGAATCCCCGAGCCATCACCGTGGATCCAATCCGAGGGTCAGCTGGGTTTCTCTTCTCTTCCCATAGGTTCCAGTTTCAAGCTTGTGGATCTTAAATGCAGGGGGCGGGGAGGCGGGACTAAAAGCTCGAAGGCACTAACAGAGCAACTATGGATTGAAGATCCAGTTATTGGGCTGCAGGTACTGTTCTAGGTGGACAGGGTGTGTTCTTTCATGGAGCTTATGATCTGTTAGGAGAAAAGAAAACTGAACAACTGAGAAACCTACTCGGCTATGCTGCGACATGGAGAGACTTCAGATGGTGTGTTAAGAGGCACAGGGTCTATTTGCCTCAGTCATCAGCAAGGGCCTCGGGAGATGCACTGGCAGAGGAAGTGGGTCTGCAGCACACTTGGAAATCCTGCTGTTACCCCACAGCAGCGTTTCCTGCTGCTGTGCTGAGGGCTGAGACCCAAGGCTCAGATACTGGGCATTTTATTCTTCTGGCCTGGTTTTTCACTTGAGTGAAAAAAAGTCAAGATGAAATGAGTAAGAGATGGTCAGTGAAACAGGTAAGATTTTCTTAGTAGAGAAGCTCTTGCCCTATTTAAGCAGAACTTCTACCCAGCGGAATTCTGGGGAAGCCCTTCACATCAGTAAAGAAAACCCTTAGCAAAATGGTTTTGGACTTACAAATACCAAGTGCAGAGCCTCACAGCAGTTCTGAACTTGGGGTTCTACACACAGGCAAGGTCTAGGCTTCTCTCTCCAGCTGACTGGCTCATAAGAACCTCACAAAAAGCTTGGAGTGGTCTCGCCTTTCTGCATTTAGGGTGCCTATTCTGGTGCCTGGTCTAAAACCAGGGAAGGCTGCCCTGGCTATGGGCTTCATCGGTGAGAGGAAAAGGCATATTTTAAAGCTGAAAACCAGAACGTAGCCATGAGTTTAGAATGAAAACTGAGCATGTGCAAAGCCCTGAGTTCAAATCCCAGATGCACCCACAAAGATGAAAGTAGAACAGCTTTGTTCCTTATCAAGACAGCAAAACAACACTAAAGGACTGATAGGACACATGTAAGTAAATCTTCCATGACAGCCCAAGCACTTAGTTGTGAAGTCTCCGTATAGATCTTACTTTCTTCCTTAAACAAGCCACAAGTAATTTGTACCATAGCATTTGGGTCTGTATGAGCTTGCTCAAGACAGTTTTCCGTTTCTCAAATCATTCTGGGAAGGGGACAGGTAAATGATAAAGCGGTGACAGGTGCACTCCACCCTGCGGCTGCTTCTGCCTTTAGTACAGAGCAGAAAGGGCTTTCTTGAGTCTGGAGAAAGCCTTCCTCAGTGCTGTCCCGGGCACTGCAGGACAGCCTCACGAGCTCTTCTCCCCTCCCCTCCCTCTCTGGTTTTCTCTGTAGTTCATCTGACACGTTCTAACCATCCATTGTTTGTATAAAACACTCATAAAAAGTGCTTTCGATGTTTATCTACTCAAAACTATAAATCTGTGTCCTTAGTATAATGCATTTCCAATTAACAAGACTGTGCATTCTAGACGTTAAAAGACTATTTTGCACTTTTTTTCCTTTGTACTTTTAAACAAGGCACTTAAAACATAAATCACTCAGTCAGTGTCCACGTGGGGCCAGGAAGATTCTCCGTTAGCAGATGTCCCACAGTAATTCCTGGAAGATTTCTCTCTCAAAGCTCTGGCCCAAGTTCCATGATTTCTAAAGCTGACACCACCTCCCCCTCAACTTTATTTCCCTAAGTTTTTAAGCCTAAAATCCAAGTCAAGATTTTAACAAATTTTGGGGCTAGGGAGATGGCTCAGTGGAACAAGTGCTTCCCTGGCAAGCACAAGGGCCTGAGTTCAATCCCCGGTTCCGCCAAAAAAAAAAAAAAAAAAAAAAAAAAAAAAAAAAAAAAAAAAGAAAGAAAGAAAAAAAAGATTTTAACAAATTTAAGGGTGTCTGTGCAGTTGAATCAGGGGAGTTTCAGAGGCAAAGACTTTGATAGGGCTTTAAAATGATGACTTTGTCCACATAGTTGGAAGTATCAGAAAATCTCGTGTTACAGGTAAAAATACAATATGGCTATGTATGAGTTACCAACTGCTGCGTAACACATTGTCCTGAATCTTGGTGGCATAAGAGGAAAGATGCTATCTCCCTTTCTGTGAGTCAGCGGGCTGGGTGCAGCTTCCTGAAGGCCTCTGACCTCTCACAAGGACGCAGCCAAGGCACTGGCAAGCAGGGTGACCGCAGAGCTCTAGGGGCAGGCCCACTTCTAAGCAGAGTGATGTTGCGGGCCTCCTGTCCTGGGGCTGTGGATTCCTGGGCACGTGAGCACCTTCTGTCTCTGTAGGGAGCTTGCAGTGTGGCATCTGGCTTTTCAGTGGGAGCAAGCCAGGGTACAGAGCTGTGGAAGCCTAATGTTGGAAATGATGTCCCTGTCACTGGTGCCACACTCCACTCACGAGGAACAAGATACTAAATCTAGCCCAGGCTCAAGGGCATTGCTTACGGCTAAGCCTACCTGCAGATGGAAACTGAGGAGGCAGCCACTGTGGATGCACGGCTTTTATGGGGGTGGGTGGGTGGAGGGGGGCTAGGGATTGAACCCAGGGCTGCCTGTTAGGCAAGTGCTCTCCCACTGAGCTGCACCCCCACCTCCTAATAGCTGTCTTACAATCTGGATTTTTAAACATTTATCTACAGCAACTTGTACTGGACCGACTGGAACAGAGAAGCTCCTAAAATTGAAACATCTTCTTTAGACGGAGAAGACAGAAGAATTTTGGTCAATAAAGACATTGGATTACCCAATGGGTTAACCTTTGACCCCTTCTCTAAACTCCTGTGCTGGGCAGATGCAGGTAACACTGATCAAATGCATTACAGTGCTCTGAAGACATTTTTTAACCACAAAAACAAATTCTAGGGGCCAGGGAGATAGCTCAGTAGAATAAGCACTTCCCTGGTAAGCACAAGGTCTGAGTTCAATCCCTGGTTCCATCAAAAAAAACCTCCAAACCAAAACAAACAAATAAAACCCAAATTCTACCCTTAGGTCCTGATTTAAGTTTACACTAGTACAGCAAATCTATTTGATCTGTAAAGTCAGAACAATTTTGGGGCCCGGGGAGATGGCTCACTGGAATAAGTGCTTCCTTGGCAAGCGCAAGGGCCTGAGTTCAATCCCTGGTTCCGCCAAAAAAAAAAGAACAATTTTGTAGTGATGCTTATAAATTTTCAAGTTTTATTTATTTATTGGATACAGGGTCTCACTATGCCGTTCAGACTTGTAGTGATCCTCCTGTCTCAGCCTCCCCAGCACTGGGATTACAGGCGTGAGTTACCACACCCCGTTCCTGGGCCAGTGTGACATGCAGTACTGGGGATCGAACTCCAGTCCTTGCTCCTGCCAGGCAGGCGCTTAGACTGCTGAGCGATCTCCCCAGCCCGATTCTTCCAGCTTCTGGAACTAGAGTAGGGGAGGCTGAATCCAGCATGAGGCTGCACTGTTCACCAGTCCCGATGTGAGCACTCGGCATACCTGCACTTAAAAGGAATGTTAGCCACCACTCCATCTACAGACTGATAAATAGTGGTTATTTTGTCTTTTGGGCCAGTATTGTAAACACTCATTACTGACAAGTCCTTATGTTGCTGAGGACATTTTCGAAGAGCGATGTCAGACTACCTTAAAATACACTTAACACCCGGGCTTATTTTTGTTGTGTGCTTTTCATTAGAAAACAGTAGTACCACGACTCAGAAGCACTTTTGTGAATAATTTTATTTGGCAAAATGGTTTTGGTTGGCAAAGTTTACATCAGGCGAACACGACCATGGCCATCTTTTCTAGAATCCTGGAACAAATTAAGTTTGTGCATCAAGGCACCTCTCTAACTGAAAAGATGCTGTGTGTCAGATTCTACAGAACATGAAAGACCATTCTTGAATTTATAATAAAAGGCCTATAATGCATGCCACTTATGACACAGCTATCCAAGTATTTTTAAACTATTTGAAATTATCTATGAATGTCCAAACTGGAAACACTTGTTTAGCGCTGTGAAATTTTCAAGATTGCTTCCTTTACACTGAAATATGGCTGTTATTATTTTACCTATTTTGACCTAGAAAATAGTATTTTTGTCAAAGATTTTAAGATTGAGTTGGCCACTATATATTGCTTTAGAAAGGGCAGGTATTTTCCCAGATGTTTATGACAATTAAAAACTAAAGCTTAAAATTTTCTTTGGAGGGATGTCCCAGGATTCAAACTCAGAACCTTGTGCTTGCCAGGCAGGTGCTGTTGTGCTCAGCTATATTCCTGGCCCAATTATATAAATTCTTTTTTTTTTTTTTTTTTTAGTTCTTTTCTTTTTTTCCATAATTTTATTGAGAAACAAATAGCAATGAGACAGTTTCAAACCAAATTGGTAGGTCGGTTTCAATAATTAACACATTTCATACATTCTTCCTAGTGGTTAATTGCTGTACAAGATGCGGACATATCCTATTTATAAACACCGTTAGAACAAATCCCTCTATTCATTAAGAGAATGTAACTATATATGTATCCTAACCACTTTGAACACACAGATACAAAATGGACATTCATCTGCATCCCCTTTTCTTGTTTAGTTGTTATTTGAATATTATAGGTGTTAACTCAGCAAAATATTCCAATAGAGTCCAGTAGTCCATAATAGTGTTGGGTCTTCCGCTTCACTGGCAATGTCAGAAATTGTTCACCTGAGTCCCCTACAGCTCAACATAACACCATGGCTTTACTTCTTATACTTCGTTTTTATACTTTTCTGCTGGATGGTTAAGACCAAGGTAAAGCAGGACCTATGCAACAAGAGTTGTAGCTTTTGGGTCTGATAAGGTCAGTGAAATCCCCTCAGGATTTATCCTGAGATCCTGTACCTCAGATTGTAGATCCTTTGTCAGTGTCAGCCATGTAGATGAGTCACAGCCATTGCTTGGCCAATGTGCTCTCTGTGAAAGCCTGAGAGAATGTTTTCTCTCCATATGACTCTCCTTAGGCACACTCTACATCATCGATCACTTTCCTCTTTGGCCCCATAATCTCCTTGATCAGAAAATTTGGGACACTACTGAGTTACATGACGTTACCGTACAAGTTCTCATATGTCCTGAGTCTTAATTGACCTTGGAAGGCTGGGGCCAAAATGTTGGCTTTCCTTGCAGCCCTCCTTTTTCTCTACCAATTATATAAATTCTAAAAGTATTTCTCTAGTATCAACTTTGGAAAAAACCTAGTCAGACTTTAGCAGATGTAATCTTCTAACAAAGACATTTGAATTTTATTAAAAACTAGAATGCTGTTGAACTACAGGTTAGTACTAAAACAGGACAGTACAGTTGCTGACGTATGTGGCTGGAATGCCCACGAAGTGTGCCGACTTCGCCTTTGTTGCTCTGAGCAGCCCCCACGAGCACTTCTGGCACAGCAGCAGGGTTCTGCCTTCTCCACGGGTCTCATCCCTCACCCCCATGTTTCAAAAGGAACCAAGAAACTGGAATGTACACTACCTGACGGAACTGGACGGCGTGCCATCCAGAATAACCTCAACTACCCGTTCAGCATTGTCAGCTACGCAGATCACTTCTACCACACGGACTGGAGGAGGTGAGCTGGGCAAGCAGGGCTCAATGGCACACGCCTGGGTCAGCAATGTCGGCTTGGGCATGAGGCACTCTGCCCAGAGTACGTTACACCTTTTATGGTTTACTACTTTGAAATTATGTATGTCCTGTATTTTACCCAGAAATGTAAGTGTTGCTCACAGGTAGCTGAAAGGGGTGAAGTTTTTTGATAATACACTATCAAAACAATAAAAAAAAATAAAAATAAAAAAGCACGTTTTTCTAAATCTATTTTTCAAAATAAGGATATCATCAATTGGTTACTGGTACTGTGGGGTATACTATCTAGGTAAGGGGTTTGAGGGTTTTTTTAACCCTGATGAGGGCTTGGGTCTGGTGTTAACGGTATTAAGAGTTTGTATCTCCCAAGTCAGCCTCAACCTCAGGGTAAATAGCAATACGAACTTACTGTGTACTAGGGAGACCCAAAACACTATTTAGCCTACGTCTCTAATGAAGGTCTGGAGAATATTTTGAGAACAAAATAAAAATTCTATCCAAGTCCTTCTACCTGTTCCCTACAATTAATTGCTTTGGCCTGAGCTCAGGCATCAGTTAACAGTTGCTCCTGCAAGCAGCTAGATTGGGGCCAACCAACTGAAATTAACAGCTCTGACTGCAGTGTGGCACCAGGGCTGCCACTGGTGAGGCTCTAGTGAGTAGTTTTCCCTAAAGTCAAACCCTTGGCTAGTGATTTTAAAAGTGTACTTCAGAAGGTCAGCAGAGATATTTCTCTACTGAAGCTTTCTGCCAGGCATAATAAAAGGTTGTATCTTCTCTTTAGCAGTGACTCACTTGCCATGTATTCTCTGGCTTTCTCTCACCAGGGATGGTGTTATATCAGTAAATAAAGAGAGCGGCCAGTTTACTGATGAGTACCTCCCAGAGCAGCGATCCCACCTCTACGGGATAACTGCAGTCCACCCCTACTGCCCACCAGGTAAGCAGACACACTTCGCCAGTCGCCTGTCGATTACCTAGCGGGGGCTGGAGGGAGACCGCACTAACTCAGGACCGTGCTGCCACTGACTTCGCTACCACTGTCCTCTTCACTACCGAGCTTAATACACACAAAATAAAAGACTTGTTCCAACTTGGTTAAAGAATAGTCACCACTGCCCTCTTCCCTTGCAGGAAGAAAATGAATTCCACAATATAAAGGACCTGATGTTTACAACCAGAATCTTGACCCTGAAGAACATTTACTGCAAAGGAAGAAAGTGAGAAAGAAATTGGTCATTACAAGTTCCTAGACATACAAGATGAACATTTTTCGTGCAAAAAGACTAAGTATATTTTGTGAAAAATTTATACCTCAATCTTTACTACTGTATTTTTTAAAAAGAGTCATTTTAACAGTTGCTTATTAAAAGCAACATTTTATAAACATATTTAAAAGGCCAAATTCAAGTAAGAGTCAATTAAGAACTTAACCTGAATCTAATTTTTGCTATGGATTTTTTTTCCTGGCCAAGAATGAAAGCACATGTGCTCAGTATAAAAATACAACCCTGAATACCAAGAGTGTTGATGTAGCTCGAGAAGGTTATGCAGAACTGATGGGAAAGAACCAGCTTACAGTTTCCCACCAGAAGTTCTAAGTTTTCTTACCTCGGCATCAGTGCATTTCTATTTATATTACAAGGTGCTAGAATGATTCAATTTGTATTTTCTGATCCCATAAGTGCCTCTACAGAAGTAGCCACAGAAACTATTACATTTATAAATACCAAAGAGTAGCCGTTCTTAAATTTTCTAGATAACTCCAATAAAGTATTTTAAATTTTTCTATGAATTGAAGATTTAAATCGTCTCTGAACAAAGCTAGGGACTGGCAGTCTACTTTAGCCATGGAGTAAGCACTAATACAAAATGTAACAATACACTGTTTAAAAAATTTAAAAAAACACCAAATTCCACTTTCTTAAACTTTATTAAAGAAAAAAGTAACCGTGGTGGTAACTTTCTAGGACATGGTCAATTTCCTGGGATTCCTCCCTCCAAAGCAAGACCTGCTTTCCAGATCCATGCCAGAAGTGTACAGCTCCCAACTGTACTGAGCAGGCAAGGGGCTGAAGCCGCAAGGGCTCATCTTCCCACCTTCCCCAGTCTGTGGTCTGTCTTTGGATCAGCAATAATTGCCTGAACAGCGACTATGGCTTCGTTAATTTTTGTCTGTAGCTCTCTGAGTTCTTCTATATGCAGCAATCGCAGAATCTGAGCAGCCTCATTAAGAACTGCATCTGTTTTGTAAGAAAAGAACACTATATTAATACATCATTTTTTTGTATTTTACTTTATTTCCCAAATCTTTTTAAATATACACTGAATTAAAACAAAATCACTTACCTCCTGTGTCAAAACCAAGAATATGTTTGTCTAAAGCAACAGGCAAACCCTTTAAAAAAATAAGGCAAGAAGAGACTATAATTAATGCCATTCTTTTTTCATCTGAAACTGTGAACAACTAGCCGGTTTAATTCTTAGGAGCAGTGGGCAGGGATCTGAGAATCTATTGCTTAAATCTGACTTGTGGTAAGCAAGTTTTCCCCTTTTAAAGCAGCGAAGAGGGCCACAGATACAGCTCCGCAGCATGGCACCTGCCTGGAAGCACCAGGCCCTGAGCTTGACTCTCAGTACCAAGGTGATGATGATGATGATGATGATGATGATGATGATGATGATGATGATGATGATGATCATCATCATCATCATCATCATCATCATTCCAGTTAGGAAGTAATGGCCTTTAAATGTACTGGAAATGCCGTGGCCTATCTGATCCTTTAGATCAAGCAGGCAAAACAAACCCTTACTGCAGCAGTGTTTTGTCACTTCCTATCATGAAAGGATGCCTGAGGAGGGCTGTTACTGTCCCATTAAAATGGGACCGTCAATGAAAGTATTGGGCAAATGAGACAGGGCTACTTTTAATATTATTCTCAAATTTATTTCTCTGGGGGCCTGGCCCTAGCTCAGTTCTTTAAGTGGCTGCTTCCACAAAGCTGTCAGCCGCAGGCAGGCTGCTGTAGTTCGATCCCCACAACACTCCAGCCAGCCAAAAGTGCCCTGAAGGCATTCGAGGAGCAAAAAAAAAAAACCTCAAATTTATTTCTGAAAATTTGTCCTTTAAAAATGACACAAACCTAACGTATACACTTTTTTTTTCCTGACTAACTTGGGTACTAGATTATATATAATCTAACTTTCAACAGTTCATTTGCAGGTGACTTTGAACAAGTCTAGGAAGTAAAGAAAAACCCATTTATTCCCGAATCAATCAGCACACATGCTGACTACCAACTGTCAAGCTGAGGATAAGCGGTCTGGACTTCCGGTATACTGTCTAGAAACGTTAGCAGTTCCACAGACACACGCATGCTGTACTTCTAGGTTACAAGCTATCCCTATGCAGATACTTTAGTCACTGCTAACCTCCCCCATCTAGAAATGCAAATCTACCTAGGTACCATCTGTTTTCAAGTAGCTAAGAAATACATGAAACCATGGGGATGAAGGCACAGTGCACAAAATAAAGCGCAGACTTGTTCTGAGTGCTGGTACCAGAGGCTCCAGTTTTCCTTTCACCTGTCAATCAACCACCAAGGACAGCTACCAGTGAAAACTACCATGCATCAAATACGGCTTACAAATGGTCACAGACGTTGGTTAGTAAAGCCTTAAGAGCTGGTATCTTTTGAGATGACACTGAAATTTAAGATTTTGAACACCAAAAAATAAAATTCAATTTTACTTTAAGATTTGACTATGCCTTTATTTGTACTGATTTTTTAAAAGCGAAGGCATAGTTTTGCTGAAAGAGATCAATGATTTTATTATACCAGAACAATCTACTGTCTGTTTCATAGTGTGGGTGAAGTAAGCTGATCTTCAATCTACTTTCTACTGGGCCAACTCATACAGTGTTAAGTCAGTAAGAACCTTCAGAAGAAAATGTCTTTCATGCAGTGTTGCCCTGGCATTAGGAAACTTTGAACACTGCTGGGCCTTGCTAAAGGGGTCAGAGGACAAGACATTGGAGGACTTGGGAGGGAACAAAAGGACAAGCAAGTCCAGAACGGAGGATGTGCCCAAGGCCTTCATTCATTTACCTCACGTCTGTCCTGCAGGAGGGGGTCATTACCAGACCCCTTCAGGGTTACTGCTAACCCTTAAGGTCATCATCTGCACTTAGTCAATGAGGCTTTAAAAAACCTGGAACTTGGAACTCTGATTTAATCTTAAAATAACCCAGAAGTATGGTTTTTATTGAAAGGGAGGTTTTATAAAATGATTTTGCAAACCTGCAGAGTATGACTGCAAGGTACTTTTCAGCCATCTGCAGCCTGGACCACATCCTCCTACAGAGCCCCAACCCTGTCACCTGGGCATACCCACAGCTGAGGGCCCTGGCCCCTGTGCACCAGGAGAGCACAGGCTCCCGAAGCAGACAGCCTGAGCTTAACTGCACATCACCAGGTGACCTTAACACAAGCCACTTTGCACGTTTATGCCAGGAAACTGAACAAAATGAGATGATTTACTCTTAAGACTTAAGAAAGGGCAGGATTTAGATCAAAAAGGAAATTAGTGACAAGGAGAAGGTGTGTGCTCAGCTCTCCATCACTAGTCAAAATAATCCAATAAATGTCTAAAGAGTAACTGGCCATGTACAAATTTCTAACTGCAGATGACCTACATTTAGGCAACTTCTTTTTTTCTTTTTTTGCGGAACTGGGGATTGAACTCAGGCTCTTGCACTTGTCAGGGAAGCGCTTATTCCATTGAGCCATCTCCCCGGCCCTAGGCTGCTTCTTTTAAGGGATGAAGTGAGATAAAGTTCATTTCTCTCCAAATGACCATCAACAACTGGACACATTCAATTAGCTTTGGACCCAAATCAATCCCACTGACGGAAGCCATCCTTTCTCTGGGCTGGTCTAACACAGGACCCATTTACGAAGTTTCAACTGATGGCTAACCAGACAGTATTTTTTGTCAATAACTTAATTCCCAATTTGGAAAACACACATACCTCTTTTGTTTGATTTGCTTTAGCAACTGCATCCTGTGTTAGGCGCTCCTGAACCAAAATGCGAATTGCCTAAAAACCAAAAATATTGTGTTTACTTTTTATAGGCTGTTTATAACTCACCCTTCTCAGAATCTATAAACGATATTTCTAATAATTAAAAGCTATGTTTGGATAGGTAACAGATGCGCCTGGTTAAAAGAAAAAATTAGGACTAGAGAAGGTATATGGTAAAGATTGGTGTCCTTCCTCCCCTGAAGATAGCTAGCCCTCTAGAACACACTGGTACCAGACTTTTATGTCCTTTACGAATACTACTAAGTTACACGTATGCTTCTGCATGTACATACAGCTTCTGCCACACAGAGAACAGCATATGGACTATCTTATGTTTTGCTTTTCCCACTAAACTCCAATGAAGTCTTCAGGCATTTCAAAGGATGTAGTCTTGCTTTCACCTGCCAAGGCATTTCACTACTGCAGATGTATATGCAGACTTAACACACACAATTTTTCATGGAATTTAGGGAGATAATAACAACTTAAAAGTAAACATGAAAATTTGACAAATTAGTTTTAATAAAAATCAACTGCTGGTAGTGTCTGCCAAATAGTTAATGTAGTGGTTCTCATACCTAGCAACCTAAAATCCTCTATCATCACTTGTGAGCTCTATGCTTTTTTTTAATATTTATTTATTTTTATTTATTACATTTATTTATTGTGTGTGTGTGGCCAGCTCAGCCCAGCAGGGGGCGGGGCTGGCTGGCATGTGGTGCTGGGGATCGAACCGCGGTCCCTGTGCTTTGCCAAGCTTGTTTCAAGTAGGTGCTTTAGACCACTGAGCCATCTCTCCAGCCCCTCTATGCTTCTTAAAGTAATCCAAAGGGACAAACACGTAGCTAGGTTTAGAATCTTACAAAGCTTTTATATAGCTGATGCATAATTTTTCCCACTGGGTTTTTAAACTCTGAAACAAAGCCATCCCAAATATGCCATCCACTATCTGTTCCTCCTCTCATTTAGTTTACAATTAAAGCTGACAGGACCACTGCAGAACTCCTAGGAAATCTGCATAACTGAGTAAGGAACTAGCTTTTGAAGCAGCTAAATTTCAGTACAAACAACTTTTTATCTTTTGGTAGCCAATATAGGCTGAGGAAATCCAAGTTAACATTCAGATGCAGCGCAGAGAATTATAATAAACTAGGAATAGAATAGTATTTCCTTTGTTAAAACTGCCATTTAATGCACAAATTTTCTAAAAGGCTAAAATATCAATCTCTTCTGGGTACAGTGAAGGTTATTCAATTTAGTTTTTACAAAGCAAAAAAATTTACATGTACATGATCTCTTTAATCTCTTATCAAAATCAGTAATTTCTAAAATAATTTTCAAGTCTGGTATCAGACACTACACTCCTGCTTTGCCTGTCTCGCACTTCCACAATTATGTTAGGACTAAATCTTCTGAAGGTGGAGTAATTTATTTCCCAGATATATAGGTGTATAATTATACAGATATATAATTACATATCTATAGACAGATATAAATTTTTTTTACCAAATTTCCCATTACTAATCTGGTACATGCTACTGTTAATAAATATAACCCATAAATTTTTAGAAGAGCTGACCAAACAGAGGAAATATAGGGAAAAAAGTGGACCGCAGCTCAGAGTGGTTAGATTCAACAACAACAAAAAAAAAGATAAAAATATGAAATCTGCATTATGT